AGTGTTTGGCCGAGCGAATCGTTATCTTACCGATCGAATAATGCCCGACGACTCTGTCTACTCAGTCCCCACCCATATGGTGTACACACGGATCGGGATCCTGCTGTTGCTAGCTTCTCCGTTACCGTGTGCACACAAGACTGACGTGCAAATCAGGAAGTGTTGTCGATCGCGTAACGGGAAGCTGAGAGAGATCGGCAGGCTATATATATACACTCTCTGGTTTATCCCTTTTAAGGACCTGTGCTCTGCCGACGTCGCGTCACGAACGGATCTATTGCTCGACTCGCTGTCCCGTACATGCAGTGTGAATTGCACCACAGAAAAAATGCTCCTTATACGCGGATCGATGATTTATTTATTTATTTATTTATTTATCATTGTTTTTTTTTTTCAAGCGTAAAATAACTTTACGCGTAAATGAGCTTAACGGGAGTGCAATCGAGACCGAGTGTGTTGCAAGGAGTCGAAAGCTCTTCTCGGTAATGTGTTAGGTACACGGTACCGTCGCGAGAGTCAGGTGGAAAAATTCCGTGGACCGATCTCGTACGATCGACCGGCCACTGAGATTAGCTCAAACCCAATCGGAGAAAAAAAAGAATGTAGTACCGAAAACGTGTAGCTATCGCTGACGAGTAATAGTATAGCGTTGACGGATAGAGGCACGGAAAAATCGTCCCCAAGAAAGTTGTAAGTGATTCTGTACCGCTGAGTCAGACAATTCGATTCACGTGCACGCGTTTTATGGAAATAGTTATCGGCACGGAAGGCGTGGGTAAGCCGACAGGAGGTATATATACACGCTTGGGGCCTTGGCCTCTCGGAGAGAGAGGAAAGCCGATTCGTGAAGCTGCGCTGCTGGAGGTTTCGTCACCTGCGTCTATTTGTACACCTATTTACGCTGGCTTTTGGTGATACTTTTTTTCATGCTACGCGACAATTCATTACCTGCGCGCGTTGATTGGTTGGTGGGCCACGTCGTAAATGTCGAAATCGACGAGGGGGTCTGTTGGTTTTGGTGTCAACCATTATGTACACACCTGATGTGCTGTGAAATTAAAAACAATCACCTGTAGCTGTTATACGCGTGTTCGGACGGCCAAACTTGAATTAGTTTTCGGCATAAATTAGAAACGTAGTTAGCAACAGCTTTCAGGTACATGTAAAATGTTTTATTTTATATGTATAATCCCCGTAGACGCGTAACGTGACACTTTTTAAATTCGTTGGTTAAATTTGATTTGGTTGCCTCGTGAAGTATATAATCATCAAATTACCGATCTTTCCGAAAAATAAATCACCGTTCTCTCGTACTTATACACAGGCAGCCAAATGAACGTCACCTATGTACACGATAATGCGTGCTTCTATCGTTTAATACGTATCGTATACATTCGTGCCTACCTTGAGTATATACAAGCGAGGATACAACGAGGCATCGGATAACATCTAATTTCCCAAGTGTGGATAGCTAGCTGCACATCGCTTCTCGGAGGTATATATACATTAATCATCGAATAAATGGAATCCTCGACACTTTTTCCCCGAAGCCCCTTGCCCTTGCCCCCCTTTCGCTGAATGTAATTTTTAATAGATAATGGAGATTGTAGCGATTCATGGCCCAACTTTAGAGGTAATGTCTAATCGATCGGTAATGCTCACGTCTTTTGAAAGCAACTCTGATTAATCTCGCACGAAAAATATTACAGATAGGCACATAAATATACCTACGAAGGAAAGGAAGAGCTCCGTGAATTGAAATGACGAAAAAAAAATGGGGTGGGGAAGGAGGAAGATGTAGGTAGGTAGGAGGGGGGTAAGAGCCGTTAATCACGCGGACGCGCGATAGTCGCGAAGGGGAGAAAGAGAAAGCGGACAACATCCTTGACTTTTGATTCCGTTTTTCCCTTGCAAGTATAGGCCTATACCGTATACAACAGCATTGAGCATACACATATACATGTGTACATATATATGTATAAAAGTACAAGAGATTAAGCGCTCTCGAATTATAAATTTGCTCGCGTTTAATTTTCTCGTTACGGCGCATACCTGCGGTGTGTCCCCTCCTCTACTCCATGCGTATGTATAACCCAGGTGCACTTGTCCGGGCCGCCTTTCTACCGATCGGAGAATAAAAAAGCTGAAAGTTCAAGGAAGCGATGTAGGTATGTACACACACGGGCCCGAATTTCAATATCCACGGCGGCATCGCGGAGAAAAACAACGCTTCTCGCGCGTGCGCCAATTAGTCCGCGCAATTATATTCCGACCGGCTCCTCTCCCCAAGTCCCTCCTTTCCCAATTTCGGCGCGGAGCTGGAGTACCGTAAGGCGCGCCCGTAAAAAACTCCCTCCCGCCCGCCCTTGGCTTTTTATTGTGTTCGTGTGTCGTTTTTTTTTTTTTTTTTTTTCCATGTGCCCGACGCACGTATTTTTCGAGCGGTGGCGAGAAGTGAAACCGACCATGTACACCGCTAGGATGAAAGAGAAAAAAAAATAGGGGGGGGGGAACGAGGCTTCGATCGTGGTTTTTCGGCGGATCGATCCCTTCCGGCCTCTGCTCCCTTTCGTTGCTGATGTTTATTGAACTTTGATCGAGGTCATGATTATATGTGGTATACCGATAAACCTGTATATGTAGGCAGGTAACGTGTACGATCGATCAAAAGCCCGGGAGCTCAAAGAAGATCGGCCGATTTATGATTTAGGCTTTTAGACGTTATTAGCGACGGGAAGGATAAATCGTCCATTACCTCTAAGGTTTTCAAAGCGTGAGAATGCGCGTGTATTTACCCATTGCGTATACACATCCGATTTATTTATTTGCGCCCGTGTGTATACGCACCAACTTCCGAGGCGAGGCAACTTTCGTCGTGCTCATCATTCATTTCTCGCGCGCGGCTTACATTTTTATGCATGTATGGGCGCATAAAACGTGCATGAAAAGTGATCGCTAGAGAAAGTGTATATATACGTGTATACATGTATGCGTATACTACCTCTCGAGACCAGAAGGTGGTTGCGAAAATTTTACGTTCAGTGTACCCGTACGCGTGTTGGTGCGAGATAAACCTACATTTACGTACATTACCTTTTGAAAAAAGAAAAAAAAAAAAAAAAAAAAAAGATCAAAGTCGTAAGTAGTTTACAAGTGTAATTTGCTATGAAAATTTTTCCACTGCATGTACAGGATCGTTTATGTTGTTTTGCGTGCAATTTGCTCGACACGGGTAGTATTGCAGGTAAATACGACAAACCCGTCCCAAGGATGACGCGCAGACACGGACGTAGATCGTCATTTTTACCATACCGATCCCGAAAGTTCGTTTGACAAGCGGATTGTCGATCCGAGACACGAAAATTTCTCCTCCCATGCACCGTCGTCGGAGAACACGAAAACGTTTGCCCACACCTGCGTACGGCTTATCTGTACCCGACTACGCCCATGTCTCGCTCGCGCGACCGGAACTCCCACGTGGCGTCGGCGAACTGGACCACGAGGCCGTCGCGGACATACAAAATACCCACCGATCCCCCTATCAGTACCAGACGTTTTTTTCCACAACTGCCTTCCCTCTGCCTTTCGTTTGACGGATACCTTCCTGGCTTTCATTCATACACATATTATATACTTTTATACGACCCAGCCGCGGTTGTGTTGTCGTTTGTTTTTTCGCTCGGATAGGTGGTTTTAGGTGCTCTGTATTCAGGTTGCGATCGCAACGTTTGAATGGTAATGTTGACGATGATGGCTTGCGTTTTTCGCGATGATTTTCAAATAGGCGAGGGGAGGGTTACGCTACGCACGAGGGTTCTATTTATTCCAGCGGTGCTCTCCACGCGGGAGACCTTGTCCATTAATCGTTTGGTGTCACGTGAAAATTTACGTTGCAACAGTACACGGATGGACTTTTTTTTTTCTCCAAGTGCATCATGCATCGTGTGATGTAATAAAATAAGAGGTGCGGACAGACATCATTGTTGAACTTTGGCGTGTGGTGTATAATTTTTCGATGATGCGTCACCCGACGCGAAAACAAATTATTTCCAACGTACGCCTTCGTGACGAGGGGGAAAAAAAAAGGCAATCCGGGAAAATCATCGTAGGTGGCATCGCGAAGCCCGGCTGTGCCGCTAATGAGCCTCGCGCGGGTGCGTGCGTTTGCAAAATCGATGGCCCGTGTCGCGCTCGTCTGTACTAATAACGCCGCCCGCGGAGCGAAACTCGCTTCGTTGAGGCTCTCGGAACCGTGAGAGCGACGTGCACGTACTTATATTCGGTGCAAAGTGGAAAATTCAGGGATATACGAGCGAGGAGAGAAAATCTACGAAGGCCGTCCCCGATGTAAAGGTCTCTTTTGCAAAAGAGCCAACGTCACTTGCCGCACATCGATAAATAATTGCACGCTCTCTCTCCGTGCCTTTTTTTTCCACACGTACCGCGATTGTTACCGCGTTTTTTCGCGAGCCCAGGGTCGCCGTGAGCCTCGGGTTGTAAAAACTCCGTGGATTAGCGTCGGACGTTACTTGTAGACTCCCGGAGATCGGGTACTTTGGCTTTTGGTCGCGGGAAACTATACTCGGTGGTATTTCCCTGGGCAATGTTCTCGCGATCGTCGCTCCCTCGATGCCTCGGATCGGCGGAAACCTTAAACGGAGTCCGCGCGAGAGATAAGGGAATCGAGCTGGCTCGTTAGCATTCCTGTTGTTCATCGCGGTCCTTCTACGCGCAGTGTGCGCTCTTTTCTCAAAAATGTACTTCCGAGCTGATAGATAGCGCATATTTGGGCCCCTTTGAAGTTCCGCGCGGTGCAAAATCCCTCCAACGTCACGGTGTTGGTTTTTTTATTGAAAGTGAATAGCGCATAGGAGTCGTTTGATCGGTAGCGTGTGGATGTGACCTTTGATACCGATATATTCTCGAGAAATGGGTCGGGCTACGCGATGGAGGCCTCGTAAACACCGAATTAACGTAAAATGCTTCTTGATGTGTTGCAGATGGTACGAGGAGCGGATCGCTGCTGAGGCCACAGTCTGAGAGTAAAACAACATGTGAGTACAACGCGGTTATACACCTACCGATTTCTCTCTCTCTCGTCGTCTTTAATTATTTGCAATGCACGCCGTGGATGCCTACTCGAATATCGTGGAAGGTACATTACGCGAGGTTTTTATGTGCCTACTGGGAAGCGTCGAAAATTTGTTTGATTTACCAACAGGTATATATCTACTATATACTCTACGTCACTTTTTTTTGGGCTCGCGTGAGGTACCTTTGTCGGCTCTTTACGTGTAACACTTGCGAGTGCTTTACTTTTGCACCAGATTTCACTTGAAAAAGCTATACAGTATGGGAACAAAATAACTATTCAAAGTTTTCGAAAAGTCACGTCGACATTACCGTGCAATCTTAATTACTTGACATAAATAAAATTGTTAAGTAATACTTTGAAATGGGCCAACATGCACGCGTGAGTTTGCACTTATTTCTAAAAAAAATAAATTAATTATCTTGGCTGACACGTGCCTCCGACTCGAAGCATCGAAAAAAAGAAAAATAGCGATAGAGAAAGAATCGCCTAAATTAATAACCTGCTTCTCCGTGAAAGAACAACAAGTCGGCGGGTTTGCATTTTTCCTCGTTTGAAATTCAAAAATCTCGGATGGAGTGTGTCGTGGCACGCAAAATAAACGTCGCGAGCGCACGGCTGATGACGACGACGACCATGTTGACGCGGTTGGTTGGACTTGCAAGAGACGCGTGACAAAAAAAAAAAAAAAATAAATAAATAAATAAAAATAAAAGAAAAGAAAAAGAAAAAAGAGTGCTGGTGCTATTTCGTCGAAACTCGTTTCCGCTGGGAGTCCCAGTTAAATTTCGGGATGATGTTTCTTCACGCCACTCCGTTCCTCCTCCGACCACATGGATCTTGTCCTATACAAGGTACATTTTGAGCTATGGTAATCTTTCGAGTCCACTGACGCAATCGTTCGATCAATCATACGTCACTCGGAAGCCCATTACTTCTTCCTCTCCATACAGTTTTTTCTTTTTATTTTTTTTTCATTCATGTCTATCCATACCCACGTAAGAGTAGTTCCGAGACAATATTAACATTTTTTGTCACCATTCACGTAAATGCACGAAAACAGTTTGCCGAAACTTGGCCGTGACTACTTTGAATTACGCGCGTGTAAAATAAACTTGATTCCAACAACTTTTCATATTTCACCGTTAACACCAAATTGCTCTCGTTTCCTTTAAAAAAAAAAAAAAAAAAAAAAATAACGTCAATGAATGTCGTTTAAGATTTTCCAACCAATCAGCTCTCAATAAAGAGATACCGATCGATCGCGATGCTAACCGATTTTTCAAAGTGCTCCGAGTGAGACATCGAAAGTTACCCGATAAAGGAGTTCGCTCGGAAGACAAGCGCATTCAACGATCTTCGACACCCCCTCAACGAATAGCGCCGAATCTATTTTCCAAAAGAACGATAACATCCACTGCTGGCGTTTGACAAATCCCCACACTTGTACTTCTCTCATTGACTTGTCCGTCTCTCACTCTCTCCCCTTCGTTATAACACCACCACGCACATTATATTTCTATTTCCACGTCTCCCACTCCCATGCATCGCGTTCCTCCTCCCATTCTCTTCCTTGGCGATGAGGCGCGAGAGCCCCAGTGTCGCTTCGGATGCGATCGGCTCTCACGTGGAAGCAGCGCCGGCCATCCACATACTTAATATATACTCGTACACTTTCGCGCTCGTATCGTCAAAGAGATACAGATCGAGCTTGGAGGTGCGGACGAGTGAAATCGCGCTTATCGCGGCCACGTATACGTATGATATACGTCATAACGGCGCGCGGCTCATTGCACACACACGCCGTGCCTTATATACACCGAGTTTATCGTTTTGTCCCGTGGCACTCGATCGCGTTCACCGTCGTTTAGTACGTCAACGTGGGTGTTGTTTCCGCTCCTGTGATTCGTGGTTTTGCGAAAATGAAGGCCTCAACGAGATGATCTTTGGAAACTAATTGTCGAACAAAAGGTACATATCGTAGCTTGCACTATTTTTTGTACTACACCCAACTTTTGCGCACCGCACAGTTTAATTTCATCCTTTTGATCGATCACCCATACGTAGTTCTTTTCAATTCCTGATTATCGATGGGTGCTAACCGATAATAGATTTTTTGCCTGTCGATCGGCAAACAGCCACCTCCACGCACGCGAAGCAAAACACTCGTAACTCGGGTATTTACTTATACGCGACCTCTGCCATTGTAATCGTCCAAAACGATTATCTCCCTCTCCCACGTGCGCGCGCGTTTATAACGAGATACGAGTCATCACTTACTCTCGATTTAAGCAGATTCGAGGAAAAACGCTGGCCTTATAAAGAGAAAGCCGTAATACCTACTTAGGTGCTTATACATACGCGTTGCGTTTATATTATATTGTGCACTATCCGTAGTTTATGTCTCGCCTCGGCAAGCGTGAAACCCCCCATATACGTACACTCGTGGGGCCGTTAAAGAGAAAGAAGCGCAGAAATGACACGAGGGGCATTGTCGTAATTGCACGCACAGCGGCCCGCAATAACCCGGGCGCGATACTAGGATACATATTATATGTTCATATATATTCAGCAAACAGATGTACAAGTAGTAGCAGCAGTAGTCCGCAATTAACGCTAACGCTGCGCGTAATTATCGCGGAGGGTATGTATACGTGTTGTGTATAGGTATATGTACGGCATCGAGTCGACTTGTTGGGTAACATTGATGTGCAGTATTATGGTATAACGTTCCGCTTGGCAAACCGGGCGTGTGACGAAATGGAAGATGATTCGCGAGCGTTTGATACATAAAATTATATATATATATATGCATGCGTTCTCGTGTACGGGCACATGGCATTAACCTCCGGTTGTATCGACCGTGATACGCGCATGTGTTATTTGGCATTGGAGACTTTTTCTGTGTTGCGAGGAATTTTTTTTTTTTTCTTACGATTGACGTTGGAGAGTCGCGCGACCGACGGAAAAAATGAATTACGTATTATTCGATGAGTGTTTACACGGTGGTGGTAGTATTAGGTGACTCGTGGCTTTTTCGCATCGCACCGAGTTTTATCTCGGCGAGTCGGTGGATACCCGAGCTATCGGCGCTTTTTCGCGAAACACGTGTACGTAAGGGGATGACGATTTACCGAACGACAAAATTAAATTAAAGCAACGGGGACGAGAGCTAACGAGGATGTGCCGTTTGGGAGTAAGCCGAAACCGTGAGAGATGCAAACATAAAAATGATTCAGTTTGACTTTACTAGACACTCGCAATAATACAAACGCGATTAAAATTTATATTATTTCGCAAACAAATCAAACTACTGGCAAAAATGTTGCACAAACCCCTAACGCGCACTCATTTTCCACTTTCAGAATCTTCAGATTCAAAATGAAGCCGTGCAAGCTCACCTGCCTGTTGGTACTATCCTGCCTGGCCCTCGTGGACCCAGCCAGTGCTCTTTGCACTCTGAGCCACCTAACGTCCGCGCAATGCCACGAGCTCGAGGACACGCGCTCCATCGACACGCACCAGCTGCACGACCTCCGCGCCCCGACGTCCCTGAAAGTCCTGGCGCCCGACAATTTTCGCAACCTGACGAACCTTCGACACCTGGATCTATCCGGGGGCAAAGTGGAAAACATCACCAGCGGGACCTTCGCCAAGCTCGGCTCCTTGCAAACGTTGAATCTCGCCGAGAATCGCATCAAGTACTTGGAACCCGGTGCCCTCGACGGGCTGAAGCAGCTCCATAGCTTGAAACTCGACGACAACAACGTCACCCAGCTCCCGGTCGCACTCACGAGTTTGAAGAAACTGAGGTTTCTGGACCTGTCCAGCAACCCCATGAACTGCGACTGCGCCAGCATGAAACTCCGCGACGTCCTTCTCGCGAGAGGAGTGAGGATATCGAAGAAGACCCTATGCGCCGAGCCGATTTCCGCGAGGGACACCTCCATCCTGAAACCCAATTCCACCACCACTTGTGCCTTCGAGGGGCAAGATCGGGAGATGCAGGGAGACCAGCCGGCTGAGACTGAAGCGGCTAGCGACGCGAAAGGAGGCGAAGACGAGGCGCTCAACGAAACGGGAGAGCCCGCCAGTAATGATGACAAAAAAGGAGGCGAGCAACCCCCCGACAACGAGACCGAAAGGGTGACCGTGGTGGTCGAGACAAGTCAGCCTTCGAGGTCTACGGAAGAACCTTCTTTGCCCCCATCTGCAACGACTCCCGCGGCTGAAGTTGTGGAGGATGCTTCGCCCGTTGCCGTTTCGACGACATCTGAAAGCGCCACGACGGAAAAAGCAGATGTGCCGAAAGATCCGCCACTGACGACGGAAATACCTTTGGTAACAGCCGCGGTAGAGCTGGAGGAGCCAAAAGCTACGGAGGCTCCGGAAGGAACAACGGAACCGACTGATCCAGAGGAATCCAAAGAGACCGAGAGAGACGAAGCTCCCGTCGAGTCTTCCGCCACGGAAGCGTCGGATATCTTGGCGTCTTCCACGGAATTGGAGAAGATAAACCTCATCGCGTCCGACGAGGGTTCCGGAGATGCCGAAGACGACGGTTCTGGGTTCATGGACTCGGGGATGATTGCACCCAACGTACCCGAACACATCGACTTCAATCAAACCCACGAGGCGTCGGGAGAGGAGGAGTCAGACAAGGTGAGCTCATCGAGTGCACCAACTACGAGCACGTCAACGACCGAGAGCTTGAGTTGGTGGGGTGTCATCAGCAGTATCAATCTCTTTGGTACCAATGACGCGTCCACCCCTCCGTCAACTACCAAAAGCGCGGAAGACGATTTGAAGGAGGAGCAGTTCATCAAGGTATTTCACATTACTTCTACCGAGTCGGAGAGACCCGCCCAGGAGCCGACCGTGTCACCGAAAGTCTTGCTGCAAGACGAAGCTTTGCCGAAGAAGGTGTACTCAGCTTACGAGGGCGACACGAACGACGATATGGGAGCCAACGATAGTAATGTCGACGTGGAACGGAACTCCAAAGAATGGAAGCACGGAATGGGCTCGTACTTGGTGTTGTCCGCTCTGTTGATAATTCTCCTGGGTTTGATAGTGACGGCCGCCTACAAGGGTGATTTTTGTCGAAGGAAACATAAACGCCGGGACGTGGAACGCGGAAAAGAGCTGAAGGACATGAAAAAGACCCTGTTGGATCAGAACGTGGCGCAGTCGAAAATACAGGCGTCGAACGGAGTGATTTTGGAGAACGTGCCACTGATGAACAGTTCCACCCCACCGGAGGAGCCCAAGGACAATCAGACGAGCTACGACATTACACCGGCAAATGGCGCAAATGGCACGAGTCGGTCCAACGGATATGCCCCCGACATAAACGATCCGGTGAAACCACCGAGAAAGTCGTACCACCAGGGGATCGAGGCACCCCTCAATGGTCTAAATCCTCCGATGGAGGACATAGACGGTCCGGATAGTCCGTGCCTCCACAACGGCTCCCAGGATGATTTGGACAGCTACGAGGACAAGCCACCGCTGAGTCCTGGAGCTCAGAGGGTAAAGATCACGATGCAAGACAATCCGGACAGTGTGGCGAAGACACCGATATTGATAACGCGGTTGAACGATGGTGAAAACCTAGTCAAAACGCCGTGAAGTAGGCGAGGCACTGGATTTTTTTTTTTTTTTTCATCCCAACGGGGACGGGATGTTTTTATGTTCATTCCAGATGACTAGTTTGGGTACAGCTTCGGCGAATAATACGAAACATCATCGGACATAATATATCATTATTTACAATCAATTGCATGTGTAATTAAGCTAAAATCCCTCGATGGGCAGATACCATTACACTTACGTGCCTATACGCAGTTGAAGATGGAAATTATTGTTCAGCAATTAGACAACTCGTTTGCTTATGTTAAATCCTCGGAATTACTCAATTACGATTTTCAGGACATGCGTAATTGTTGCCGTGGGTGATAATCTTGTCACTATCGGTGAATAGTCCAATTACCGAAAATTTTCAATGAACAAATCAATCGTGGTGATGTTTTTCCTATTACTACTTCATTGCTCGTTATACGCATCCAAGAAAAAGAAAGTGAAGAATTCATCAGACCGCATGCTTATCGCGGGAATGGCCAAATTTTACTACGAAATCTGGTGGATGCTTTGCTTTTGATTTCTTTGTGCTGCACGCACTAATTTGTTTTTCCGTTGAAGAAAAAAAAGAAAGAAAAAAGAAATGATAATATTTATTTAGTCCCATAGAAGCTGTGATTTGACTGCCTTAATTCACGATCAAAGTGTAAATCATGCAAAGTGCAACGTGTGCCTAAGCTGTAGGAAAAAACAAAAAAGAATTCCGAACACGAACGACATTGTATCATCAAAGATGAGCGGACGCTAGTCACTTCTTGTACGATACTTGTAATAAACCAATGATGAGAGACAAAGTGATACATGAAATTACATTCTGATCAACGGACGAGAATAAACTACTTGTACTTGGTAACAATTTTCACTAGAAAATCGATATTTGATATCCTAAGCGAAACATTTGAGGATGGACGTGTCGATTGATCATGAATTTTAATATAAATGCGAGTGTATCATATGAATAAATTTATTTATTTATTTCTAGCGATTCTCGCATTTTCGTTGTTATAAGATTATTTTTTTAAGTATAACATAATTGTTTATTTGTACAAGACATGTGTACACCTACGTTTTATATTATAAATATATATATGCATTAAAATGTTATATTACAGTAATTTTATAAAATCAAGTTACATTTGAATGAAAACAGTGTAAAAACGTTCATTCCATTATTGTAGGAAAATTTTTATCCTGTGATTATTATTAAAAAGTGTATAGTCTGAGCAAATACGCATTACCATGTACACATCAAACACATACTTTTAATGAAAAAGTTTTCCTTCAAATGCAACAAATAAGCTCAAAATAAACTATTAGTAATAAAAATCATGCTTTGTTTGGATCCTTGTGGAAAAAGCAATTTTATGTAATTTTTCTAGATATCCAGCTTAATAAGGTATCAAACTTCCTATATGTATGATAATAATAATTTAGGTGCCCGAGAGTTACATATAATTTAACGAAACTGTCGAAAATCACGTACTATGTCTGTTTACAGTACGAATCGATAGTTCCTTCATTTTTGTAGATACGATATATTTTTATGTTAATTTTTTAATCATCTACAATAAAAGACGTATTGATATTTACACGCAAACACCGATATGCGTTAGTATATTTTGTATATTCATACTGACAATTTTTTTTTTTCACCAAGTAATATTCATACTCGAATCATTTAAAAATTACTACAGCGCTTGGTGGAGCAAACAAGTACACGTGTTATCATCCCATTTCAACCTATTTCAAGTTGGCTGATCTTATCAGTTTGGCATGTCTACAGCGGATAAGGTGGATTACGCGTACCTCATGTTGCAAGTCAAACCGAAATGTATATTTACGCGAGGTACAAATGAATCTGTTTGTTTAAAAATGTATGGTTGCCGTCACGTGTGTTGTAACCGCTGCGACATGACCAAGAAAATTTTTTTGTATTCAAATAAAAAATTATGCAGCTGTGAACGTCGAATGTCGAAGGAGATTAAAAATATTTTTCACTCTTTGTGTACTACATCTACCCATCAACAAAAATCATCGACAAGAGTAAGCAAAGGCTTTATTGTTTTGTTTGGAAACACGTTCATTTTTATAACCGTATGATTTTTATCAATAAGAGTTTTATTAAATAAATCAAAACGAGTCGTTATTATAAATTGGTAATGAGTTTATTTTAAATCGACGCAATTAAATTTACACAATAGAATTGTTCATCGCAACTATCGTACTTATACCCAACATTCTCACAATTATTTATACACTTGACAGAGTTTCTCGTAATTTATTTAATTACGACTATAATATACATATATTTTTTTTTCTCACTTTTTTCACCCAAGTTGTCTTTGAACCGTACAATGAGCTTATACAGCACTTATGGCACTAAAATTGTTCATATAAAATAATAATATAAAATTCCAGTTACACCCAAGTTGGGGTACAATATTTACACGAAACAGTATTTCATCGCACTTTTGGTCGCGCAATTATCGATACACACAACCTCAGCTTTCGGTATCCGTGCCATCGCCGTCGTACCCATCCCTCCCGAGCTCCCTGTTGGAGTTTCTGACCGATGCAGGGCATTTGCCGCTTTTCTTCTTACCCCCCGAGTTCTCCGTAACATCCGAGTCCTCGTCATCCGTAGGACTGCAATTGTGTGTCACCGACAGCCTCCTCGACCTCCGCCTCGCTGCTGCGGGAGTCAGGGGTCTCGGTCCGGGCCTGCCTTCGACGCGAGTGCCATCCTTGGCCTCCAGCGCCCGACGCAGGCGCTCCTTGCGCCGCATCTCCCTGGCCAGGTTCCCGTCACTCTGCGAGCGAGTCCGACGAGCGGTTCGTCGGGGCCGACGTTTCTTGTTGGCGCGCAAGCTCTCGGACGAGCCGGCAATTTGCCGATTTTCGGAGACCGAGTCGAGGGCGTCGAGGGAGCGCGCGAGCCGCGTCATGGTCACGGCCTCCTCGTAGCTCGGCGGTCCGAGCACCTCCAGGGGGTGGATTCGCGGCTCCGACGTCGAGCCTTGGAGCTCCTCGTCCAGCCACTGGTTCCTTCAACAGAGCCATGCCTCGTTGTACAAATGTTTTTCTACAAAAGCACGTGTGGAGTGTTACCTTCTCTGCAAGAATCTCAACCTCTCCCTGGCTTCGGCCACGTGGATCCGCCTCAAGTGGTCTCTGGTCTGCCGTTTCGTTTTGATCCTGTGTCTTATCGACACGACCGTTCCGAAGCACACGATGATTACCAGCAGGCCCAGGAGGAAGAGTTTGAACGTTTGTTTGCTCTGAGCCGTGATGCCGGGCTTATTCGTCCACGCGTTCTCGCAGGCGTGTTCCCAGGAGTAGCCGCTGACTTGGCTGGGACTGGCGCAAACGAGCGGCTCCTCGTTGCAACCGAGAACTGTGAGAAAATGGTGCAAAGGGCGTAGCTCCTGGCAGTCGCACGACCAAGGATTGCCGTGCAAGTGCAGCTTTTTCAGTAGCGCGTTCTTGTAGAACAGTCCTGGGTGCAAGCCTTGGACCAACAGGTTCGCTGTGACGATGAATACAAATATTTTTAACGAAATTTACGTGTTCAAGTATGTACACTTCATTGTGCCCTTGAGCTTTGTGATTTTATTTTTCTATTTAATTAGTGTTCAAAGATAACGCCCAAATTTTCTGAATGTCTAAAATCATTTCAAATTAGTGGAAATCACTCCAATAGTAAACAAAGGAAAAGAAAGTTTTTTCTCACTACTTGTTTTTATGAATGCGTAACTTGGGAAAGGTCCAAATTTCTAAATAAATTTCCCATCACCTATATTATCGCTCTACGTCGTATTCAAATAATGACCTATGTCGTTAGTCATCGAATTATGACTAATGGCACTCGGTGTTAAATTAGGGCCATTTTTATATATAATATATAAAAATAGGTAATAATTATAATAATATATTATAATTATAATAATTATAATAATATATTATAATTATAATAATTATAATAATATATTATAATTATGGTATACCACGTTGCAAATTAATAAAATTATAATTAGCGCTCCATTCGGAGTATTCACTATTGTTGAAAAAGACACTCGTCCAATCGCGTAAACCCATCAACCATAGGAAAAAAAAAAGAAAAACACTCACAAGACAGGTCCAACCTTTCCAGATTCGGAAGGCCGGTGAACGAAACATTGTCGAGCGTCCGGATGCGGTTTTCCCCGAGGCCCCAGTCCATCAGGCTGTCGGAGACCAAATTTTGGGGCATCCTCTCGAGGTTGTTGGCGCTCAGGTCTAATCGCCTCAGACGCGGCATGCCCTCCAAACTGTCGTTATCCATTTTGCCGATCGAATTGTCCGACAGGTCCAGGCGCGCGATCGATGCCCCTAGCTTTGGAAAATCGGTGAGCCAGTTGCCGGACAAGTTCAGAAACTGCAGCCTCGGGTTTTTGACGAACGCGCCCGTGGGCACGTGTTTCAGACCAGAAGCCGACAGATCGAGGACCTCTAGGGCCGGGAGATTGACGAGCACGCTCTTGTTGAGGTACTCGAGCCGGTTGCTGTCGAGGAACAGGTGAGTGAGCTTGCGGTTCGAGAACACGCGGTCGGGCAGCATGCTGATCGAGTTGCCGGACAGCTTGGCGTGCGTCAGGGACGGCAAGCGTTGGAGCCCAGGTCTGTCCAGGTTGCACCGAGAGACATCGAGCTTCTTAAGCTTCTCGTGACGCAGGCACTTGGACCTGTAATTATTTTAACTTTAATTTCTACTTCACTGCCCGTACCGGGTGTGGTGGTCTTATTCGGGTGTAATTTAACACCGATTGTTCTTTTGGTGGGGAGTAAATGTACCTGGTGCAGTATACCAGCGATGGGTTGTCGGACAATCGCAGTTCTAGGAGCTCCGGCAATCCCACGAACGCATCCTCCGGTAAAACATTCAGGTGACACCTCGAAAGGTCCAGCGATTGGAGTTTCGCCGAGGACGGCTTGGCTATGTCCCTCAGCGGGTTACCCATCAAATTCAACCGAACGAGCTCAGGCAGGCCCTCAAGAGACGTGTCCCCCAGTTTTGTGATATCTGCGCAAACGTAGATGATATACTCCATTATTTCAAAATCACCGGAGAAATCGAGTGTCGATAATTACCGCACAAAGTAGCCTTTAGGGACCGCAAGCTCGGGTTCGTCAAGCCATCGAGCTTGTCCAGGGGGTTGCCACTGAGGTGGAGCGTCTCGAGGCTCGCCAGATCTTCCAGGCCGATGAGGTCGTCGGTGCTACCGATCTCGTTACCGCTGAGATCGAGTTCGCGTAGGTTGACGAGGCCCCGCAGGTTCACGGGCAGGGACGTGAATCGGTTGCGCGCCAGGCTAAGGCGCTGGAGTTTCGTCAACCGGTTGATGACTGCTGGCAGACCCGTCAACAGGTTGTTGGACAGATCTAGATGCTCCACCTGTGACGCAATCGTTATATTATTATGCTGGTTAAATGTTTGTCCCTCGGACATGTATATACGGGATCAATGAAAATGAGAAAACTCAAATCATGGAAGCTTTATTTGTACAAAAGTACAATTGTTGCCTCAACATTCCGATACTGTATCTTTTTATCTCTACGAGCTCGAAGAAAGAAAAAAAAAAAAAGTTTACCGACACGGGCGATAAGTGCACACACGCACTTGAGGTTTTAAATTGAGGAAGACAATTGTACACTTTAGTATACTCACGAGGTTGTCGATATTACTGGGAAGGGTTTTGAGCCCCGCATAGGAGCAGTTAACTCGTGGCACGTTGACGGCGTAGTCGCACCGACATCCCTCGGGACAGATGAGAATAGCCAGTTCGGTGCTCCCGTGGAAGGTAAGCCAGAGGACGGCAAGCACTGGGTAATAACGACCGGAGCCCATTTTTTTTTTCGTTTTTTTTTACCACTGTAGAGAAAAATCGGTATCGCCTTTGGGCGCACTCGTGAGCCCCGTGGGCATTATCAAGGCCTCACGGGAACACGATCGGAGGCAAAAATCAAGGCACTTGACGCACAGTACGCGCGACGCACCTGACGGTAAACAAGGAGAGGAGCGGCTTTCACGGTGATAGAGCGATGACTGGTGTGCGGGAACTCTGATTCTACGTTAACTCGGGCAGGTATCCGAGATAAGTCACCGAAGCGTATTATGCGTGGCGCTGGAGAAAGAGAGCGCAAGGGAGGGGCGCTCTTACTCACACCGATCAATTACTTATGTCTTTACGTATATCAGACAGATGATTTCAAAGGTGAGGCGACTCATCTGTTTGTCAGTGTCTCCCTTGCTCGTCTCGATCGCGCTCATCCGATTTTTACGCTCGTACCATCGATATTTTTCATCATTTTTAAGCTATTGAGAGTGCTCTATCGTCCATCGGGGCCTGCACTAAATGACAAACATAATAAGAAAACGAAAAATTGTATTCACAAGGCCATCCAAGATATTGTGTGTACAGATGTATTTTTTATTTTATGACGAAATACACGCGTACAGCATTGTCAATTTGAAATTTTGCGATTCACCCCAGGTATACCTGGAGCTGATGGAAAAACCACTATTAAATTCCAATCCATTTTCAGAAAAAAGGCACAATGTATACTTCGTAACTTATGCATCACAAGGAGAAATCGAGAAAGAAAGAAAGCCCTAACTCTGCAAATATACGATTCTTTTTTGCGCGAAAGCCGAAGGATGCGGTCGATGGAACGAAAAAAAAAAAAAATTTAAAGGGCCATCCGAGCGGAAAAGGCAGGACATTAGATTAATATCTCGAGCATCCCAAAGCCGATATTACCAAAGAGTGGACATCGCCGTATTCCGAGCCCATACCTAAGCCCCTCTTTGGCTGACCCGCGCGGATATTTTTCCGCGTCTTTCTCCGCGACTACCGCAACCACTAGTCGGTAATGCGACCTCCACTCTACTCTTTCCTCCGTCATCGTCCCCCTCCTTCTCCTCCTCGCCACTTGAGCTGCTACTGTCCCTGCAGTGCGCTCTCGCGAGCATCGTTGTATAGCTTACGGCAAAGTTAAGCCAAACGAGACAACAACGTCTCTTTTCTCTGTTTTAAGGAGCCAACCGTCAAGGCTTTACGGACAGCTCAGCCCCCGGCCACCAACTCAAAGATCGACGGTGAGACGTGTATCGATTGAAAACATAAAACGCTGGTTGTTTACTTGCTCGGAGCCCATATGAAAAAAAAAAAAATCGATTGTCAAAGAAATGTAGTGTGTAGACGGAAGCACCGCGCACATCGGAGAGTCAGTACCTATATACACGAGTAGTATAGCTCACACGTCCGGTTTGGGCCAATCCAGCCGCGGGTCACACCCTCCGGGGGTGTGATATGCTCGGCTTAGCCCCACGGCTTATCCCTGCCTGGTGGGGGCTGCGCTGAGCGCCAAGCTACGCATATGTATATATATATATATATACCTGTGTTGTCCCCCCCCACCCCCCCCCCCTCTCGACAGCCAACCCCTTTGTCGAGCTGCGCGCGATTTCGCAAATCCGAGCTCTACTGGACTATATACACCCCGACTCGCGGGTCACGCCTACCTCGGCTCTCTTCTTGCCTGTACCTTTTTAACACGCATAACATCACCAAAAGAATAATTTTCAATAAAAAATAACAACAACAATTATATATATATGCACATCGAGCGAGGGAAAAGCCATCCGATCATCTTTAAGGGGTATCGGGCGCCCCCGCTCCACGGTGGGCTATAATTAAAAGTCGATCGAGCAGCTTTGGCGTGCAGCCTCCCCCTCGGCTATCTCGATGTAGAGTCGCGTACATTCTCCTCACCACCGAAGGTATACACTCGAACGAGGTGGGAGTGGTGGATGGCTGGCGGGAGTATATTTTTAACGCCTTCATTTCCGGTTACGAGCGCCGGAGAGGGGGGCTGCAGGGAGGCCGGAAATAGCAACGCGCGTATACACACACCTCTCTCCCGGCGCTGTTTCAAGTATTGATCAGTTCGACGACGCCGCTATCGTCTTCGCTCCTCATCCCTCTCTCCCCCTTTCAGCTGTACTTGTGGCTTCTGGACCTCCGGAGCGGGGGTTGCGTTAAGAAAAAAAAAAAAAAAAACTGTCGTACGCATTTACCAAGCATATTCGTACACTTCAATAGTGCACAATTTTATTTGTTTTGTAAATTTGACGTGGCGTTAACGCAACATCAACGCGCCCTTACAAATCCAAACATGCATCGGATATGAAGGGAACCCTCCCCCTCCCCCGCATGTTTATACAATACACGCGTTCGAAAGGTGACGCGCATTATGATAGGGCGATATTATTGGCCCAGGAGCCCTGAAAATCTCGCTTTATCTCCACGCTGCTTCCTAGTGGAAACAAAAAAAAAAAACCCGTCTACCCACCGTGTCGTGGAATCAGCTTTTGAACGGCGAGTGAGTAATTGCCACGGATACGCGTGCTCCGTTACCCAAATCAAATCCGACAAACGAAAACACGCCGGCGCTACTTACTTTCATCCCCTGCTTCCGTTGATACGTACATGTATCAAATGTATTATATGTACTACTACTTGGGGTGGCGCATCGTCGCGTATTATACGCGGTGGAAAAGGATTCCGCGCCCGCGCCGGGGACTTGTTTTATATACGAATGCGCGTATTATATGTATCCGAGGCTGAGCTCTTTTTTGTTCTCTTACTCTCTCTCTCTTTCTCTTTGCTTTTGTCAATTTTGTCGTGCGCTCCACTCGAATGAAGGGAGATATACAAGCGTAGGTATACGTGGAGGAGGATGAGGAGCCGCGCTGAAACGAAGGCTTATGATACTAGGGTTCGAGACAACGAGAGGTGATGTGCGAATATATATATATACATGAGCTTCCATGAATCCAAGGTAGACTGAACTGAACACCTGCGGGGATAAGATCTCTTTTAGGGGTGGTTTTTGGCACTCTGTTTACGTTTACGCTCCGTATGCATAGACCATCGCTTTTAATGGACGATTTTCTAATCACAAGTGTACGTTGATAAAAAAAGGGTGTCGATCGATAAATCAGAAATTACTCGTAAAATTATATTTAAATAGAAAATGTCATTCACTAAACTAAGTACATATTAATTTTCCAATAATGATGACTCAAAGTGTTTTTACTACGAAATGTACGTTTGGAAAACCATAGTACTGATAGTCCTTTTGCTCTAAGTACGTGATTATCCATGCCAGCTGATTAAAATCTTGTCATTAGTAGTACGTACTTTTATGTACTCAACTTTCACTAAAGTATAAATCCTAGAAAGATTTTCTCCCATTTGTAAAAACAAACATCGTCACCGTGATAATAAAACAATTAAGTGTAAGTACTCACCATTATGGAAGTGACAATTGCTATTTAAGCGCAAAAAACGAGTGTTAAACGACACCGACAAAATTCTCGTTCAAGTAGGTATATTTTATTTCCGTTCGCGTGGATGAATCGTTAACATCGAAACTGATCAGCTCATAAACGACTCGTACTCGCACACCCACCGCAGGATTCGTCTTCTGGCAACGCTGTGCCCCTTATTCCATCAACGAGATCAGGAACCACGAGACTCGCGTTCGCATTAAAACCCTCGATGATCCAAAGCCCCTCGGAAGAAAATTTCTCATCAGGACGTTTCACATCCTGATGCGGTGCCAACATCTCCGCGCGGCTCATCCAATCACGAATATAATCAGCTTTCATACGTCCCACCACAGCGTATATACAACCAAGTAGCGCATGCAGGGCGCCCATACTCTCGTGGATCATCCGAGGAGATTAAAAATCACCCCCAGCTAATCCGCCGAACAAAACGAACGCACGCAAAGTGCGGCTAAGAAAACAAAAGGACTCGGGGAGAGGCGCATCTGTCGCGTGCATCGATAAAGCCACCCACCCCCTTCCAACTGAGAGTCGCCACCCTACCATCGACTGACTGTACAGGGGGTATACTATTTACTCACCTCCTCCGTAGTGCACGTATACTTGATCATCTTCCGAGGAGATTTCCATCCAGCGCGTCGTGTGCTAATCAGAGCTCCATCGGTGTACCTATACTACGAGACTTATGCTCTCCGTGTGTACGGGTAGGTGTATGTAAGCACCTCCCTCGTCATCAATGGTGTTGAATTTCTGCCGAATTGCCCCGAGATCTCGGTGGGTGAGGTATAGGGTGATTTTGGGATCGGCACCACTATCCGGAGTGCCCGTGAACGCAGAACTACGGGATTTGATTTATGCAGTGCTCGGTGTCGCTAAGTAGCTTAGCAAGCCGTACATACACGGACAGATCGCGATTCATCCAAGGGCCGAGTCGTCCGATCGACAACTAGGCAATAAAATGCCACTTTTCCGTCGAGCGTATGGGTACAAGTGTGTGTGTGTGTGTGTGTTGCGCGCCTGCACCGCCGGCAGCGAGGTAGGCAGCGCGGCCCCGCGGATGAACATATTTCACGGCGCTATCTCGGGGCGCCTTGCAACAGTACACAGTCCCCTCTTACCCTCGATAAAGTACTTTTCCCGAGCGCCTTTTTCCCTATTGCTTGCCCGACGGGCCGAGTTTACACGCGTAATCTCTCCTGTGCATACACGCTTTTCTTTTTTTCTTTTTTTCTTTCTTTTTTTGTCGCCAAACCCGGGTGTAACTTTAACGTCAACTCGCAAGCCGGCCCGTTTCGCCGGTACAACGGAAGGTACACACCGTTGACCCGGTTCGCGGAGACGTGTACCATCAAGTTTGAGTTTTTTTTTTGTTTACGTGGGATTGAAAATAAGTCGAGCTGAGCAGGGAGGGAGAGAGGGAGCTGATGCTACTTAACAAAGTAAAAAAAAAAAAAGAAGCGTCGCGCGCGCAGCTCAAGCCTCGGTTGATCGGCTTGCGTCTCAGGGACATAGAGAGACGCGCGCGCGTGGTACATACTAGTTTGGGTACTTAGCCTCGCGAAAATTCTCCGCGGGTCTCGTGTATATATGTGTACCTACGTACACACGCTCGAGGGGTAACTTTCGTATCTCTTGGCTTAATTAGATGCAGGCCACACGACTGA